GTAACTCGGCTTTGAGTCCCAGTTGAGCCATCGTACATTTTCCAGAAATACTCCGTAAATCTTGATAGGTTACAGTCGCACGTGACCGCTTTAGGTTGCCCTAAGCTTGACGGCCGCTCCCACGAAAGGAGGTAAGCCCGATCCAAACCAACGCTTCTTTTTGCGCCTGTAGGTCGTGCGGCTGCGGATGTGACGCATTTCGTGGCGTTTTTGCTGTTTCCGGGCGCGCTTTCTGATTCAGAACCGTGCGCTTTGGTTTGGACGGGCGAAACTTCGGGCGAGCGCGCACGCGCGCACGCAGGCACGAGCGCACAAGCAAGGTGCAACTGCGACAGACTGGCCGGCCAGACGGCGAGAGAAAGAGAGAGGGAGAGGGATCGCGTTGTCATGTTGGAAGAGAATAAAAGGGGGGGAGGAGAGGGCAGCCAGACGGCGAGAAACGCGGAGCCGGAACTAGCTTGCCCTCCACCGATTGGCCGGGACACAGGAGCGCCCTACTACGTCACCGCGCGTTTTTGTGCGCGTTGAGAAAGAAGTTGAAATGAACCAACTTTCTTGTGCGCGCCCGGAAGGAGCGAAGAAGCGGCGCGACGTCACGAAAATATGTCACATCCGCAGCCGCACGACCTACAGGCGCAAAAAGAAGCGTTGGTTTGGATCGCGCTGTAGCGAAGGGCGTCGGGGCCTCCTGTCGACTGGACACGGAAGCGTTCCACTCGAACATACAAGCATAACGACTGCAAATTCCCTTGGCGTTGCGATCGAAGTACGCCTGATTGCACAAGCGCTGAAATAGCAGGTGCGCTCGTGAGAATTCGGATTTTCGCGGAAACCGTGTTCAGCATTTCGGAATGTTCACGTGATCGTACTCCTTCCCAATGTGTATGGAGGCGGTGAAGTAGGTATTTTACATTTTCCCCGTTGTTAATTGTCGCAGGAAGATAAAGTAGGGCCTTACGAAGGTATTTCCCAACTTCCGCAACAATTGCGCCATCGCTCAAGAGACCTGACTACAACCGCCATCTGTGGCTTTGCTTTACGCCACTGCTAAATGGTTTCTCACGTGCAGACCGGTCACTGATGGAGTGATGACTTCGCAACGGCGAAGGAATGGCGCGAGTACGGAAGGTATTTATTATACGGTCGAGACGGGCACTTGACGTGCCTCTTTGCCACGTGTGGGAGTAAAGCGAGTCATGAAGATGAGCCCAAGAGCCAACGAGACCTAATTGCCGGAACAATCGTGAAGGTTTCGCGTGAACCGTTCTGGCCGAGGAGTGGAGACGATACTGCGGGAGTTCCTATGAGAGTGACACAATTACAATCTCCCCCAAGAACAATGTGTCTCTAATCTAAAAGAAACGCCTCTAAACTAGAAAAATCTATTCAAAAACTATGAATGCGCAAAAGCATAAACATTTACAATGTGAAATTCGCTGATACTTATGGTAACATTCAGGCAAATTATACGTCCTTCATTATCGGGAATAAAATAACCACTCTTAAGGAGGTCTATACGGAAAACAACAACGCCGACGCCACATGCCAGTCTTGTCGTGAGACAAAAAGAAAAAACGATCAACTCGAAATTTAGCCTTGAAATTGAACACTTCAGAACTTCTTTAAAAGCTTGCCTCCTGCAGAAACAATACATCGATTCTAGTATCCCTTGCCAAGCGAATTACTTCAGCTTGTTTGGCGTGACTTTTAAAACATTGCTCATTTAAGGATGCGACGTAGCTGCATCGATAGTAAGAAAAAAAAAACGAAATCACAAAGAAGTATCGTCCGTCGATTAAATATAACTATATAAGGAAAGTCCTTGAATTATCAGATTTTATCTAAACCCGAAATCACCGGTTTTGCTTGCTTTTTTTTATTTCGTTGCCTGATGTGTTCTTTGTTTGTTGGGGCCCGTTGTTCATAGAAACTTGGCCGCCGTCGCGTTTGTCTCGGACGTAGAATAATCAGGCAAAGAGTCTCGCACATGCCGGAGGACGAGGGCCTCCCACGTCCCCGTCTTCTAAGGCCGACTCCATCGGCGAGGCACACTCAGAACCGCAATCGGCGTCGTCGATGACAGGGTTTGGGATGGAGTCGCCAGCCGTCTCAGGGGACTGCGCTGACTTGCGGGAAACGCCATCTGTAGTGCTGCTGCCTGGAAGGGACACCGGTGCTTCCTCCGGGGGCGCGGCCGGAACAGGGAGTGGAGGCTTCTCTTCGGTCGCTGTTAAAACGGTTGACTCAGGGTTCTTCGCCGGAAGCGGCGCCGACGTGTCCTCGCTTTGATATGGCGGTTCATGTTCCCTCTCTGACGCGGCAGTAGTGACACATCTGTGTCACAACCACCACGAATGACTTCTTGCGGATACAATCCGCCGTCGTGTGATTTCCAGCACAGCGTCGACAAAGCGCGGAGCAAGCAGGTCGAGAAAGCAGGTCGACAAAGTGCGGAGACTGAAAGTCGAACATCGACCGCAGAAAGGAACAGAACACGAGTTGCGACAGTGACCCTGCTGTTTGCACCTGGTGCAGGCTCGTATAACACCCGGGTAGTCGCAAGTGACGCGTTGCTCCAAGATCCGAATAACATTGGGAACAGGCTTTTCCGGTCGAATTTCAATCCATACTAGCCGTAGACCGTTGCAAACTGTGGATCTGTCGATGTGTGTTGGCCGTTCAAGTTTTACGAGCTTGACGTAAGGGGCTAGCGCCAGCACGAGATATTCGTCTGGCACATAGCCGGGGAGGGACATGCAGGCAAACCGCGTTACTTGCAGAGCCAATAACTCAAGGGCAGCCTTCTGGTCGCAAATGGTTAGGTCACCACGAGCCTGATGATGGGTCTTTGCGGCGGGAGTATACGTACGATGCCCTGGAAAACCTCCAAGGTAATGAACCATGTAGACAAGCGGAAGCCCGACGACGCCGGCAACAGCATCGATGACATGCACAGATGATGCTTGGTTGGGCGCCACGACGTTGAACGCAAGTGTTTTAGTAGGCTGGAGAGTTGCAGCTGCGGCAAGGGTCGCATCCACGTTGCTCTGCGTGGCGATGGTGATTCTTGCCCCGGATGACCATTGCAACGCAATGGCGACCAGGGCACTACCTATTACTCAACCGGACAGGCGATCCAACAAGCGTACCTGACAACGGCCTTCAGCCTCAGTTGCCATGGCAATCGCCATTACGGTTCATTCAAATCTTCGAAGCTCCCAAAAGGTCGTTCTAAACCAGTCGCGCAAGGTCGCTTTGGAGCATCATCGTACTGAAATCATTACTCGCCAATGCAAGTGCCTTTGGCGCTGTGCAAGCGATCGACTTACCAATCACGCTTATTTCTACATATTGCCGCGCAGGGCCGAGCACGCAAGCGCACGGTCACGGTATTATATAATATTCGCATTTATTTTTAATGGGGGAGTAACTTTTATCATTTCACCCTAGTTTCTTGTTCTCGAAAGTGCCTGTTTATTCTCACCCCGAACGCTCGATGCTCGAACCTTCTGGGCCGAATTTTCGCGGTGTCGACGCACACGTGATAAGGAGCTGCCCGCGACCTTGTCGAGTCAGTCTCGCTCTCGCTTGCTGTTACGCCGCCAAATCGTTGCCCGCTTTTCTGCTCTGCTGTCTGGACGCTCGTTCTTTATTTTGTTTTCTGGCGCAAGGTCCCCAACTAAACCTTTATTTTCAGTTACTATTTGTCGATTTCTTTTCTATCCGTGTCAATCTCTCTTACATTTGTATTGTTGTTCTTGCGTATATAAAGACAAGGAAATTATTTTTCAATGCCGCCAAGCACCGGCACCACGTGTGGTGGTGGTGCCAAGGTGTGTGCTTGCTTCGCCGGTGTGTGGATAACAAAATCTCGGTATTCAAGAAACGTCTCCATAAAGCTACCCGTCACCAGCGAATTTAGATCGGCTCATACCGGATGGAAAGGTGAAAAAGAAACTGCTCGTTTTATGAACCAAAATGGCGACAATACGGGGAGCTTGGCGCTATTTTTCCAGGATGCAGTTACTTTAATCCAGAGAGTACAGGTTTTCTGCAGTCACAGCATTTGCTGTACCGGAAAAGGAGGTTTACTCCTGGTTCCGGTTCGTTCTGGTAGGTATTTTTCAGGGGGAAAAGCTGTCCTCGGCTTGAGTCCGTGGACAGAAGCTTGGAGCGTAATCAAGACGTGGGTTCAGACGGCTGCTTACACGCCCTACTGGCTGTTGTCAGGGTCTCGGCTGCTGTTGCACGTCCCCAATCTCCCGAGAGCAAGAAAGGAGAGGAGACGACGGCGAGTAGTGGAGGAGGAAAGCTGTGCTCTTTGCGTGCTTGATGTCCTCTCTGAAAACTTACGCGCACTGTTCCGTTTTCTTAAAGGGAAGCTGAGGAGGTCCTTGCGAAAAAAAGAGTTAGAGGTGAATACTAGAGAGTTTTAATTCCGTGAATCTGAATATCACGTTTGTTTTCCCCAGAGATGTAACTAAACGCGAGAAAACACGAAAACACCTCCGAACACCAGTCACGTCATAAAAATATATTTCGGCCTCCAAGCGCCTGTTGCTCGTGTGGGCAGCGCGTGCAGTTGTAAGCTTTCCCGGTATATTCCCCTGCACTGACACCAGTCATGACGTATTTTTCTGACCTTTGTGAAAATAGCAAGAGTGCGCGTGCATAACTTTGATAGGCGCTCAAGACGCGCGAGAGCACAGATTCCAAAAACTTTGGATATGACGAAACGCTCCGTCCGGGAAGGAGGGGCTTCAGGGGTACTTTGAAACTTGCTTTCTGCAGTCTCCGTGCACCAAATTGAAAAAGAATCTCGATATTCGTGATCTTAGAGGCCAGATGAAGACGAATTAAGTATTTTTACTGAAATACAGAACCGCTTCAATTTTCCTTTAAAAACGCCGGCGCTTTTTTTTTTTTTGGGGGGGGGGGGGGTGGCTATGCATGGCGTTTGTTGTGTCTGTGAGGCGACTTTTAGAATGCTCAGACAGTACCTTTCCTGCGGAGCCCGGCCGCGTTGGGTCATAAACGATGAACGGCTCACGGATGCCCGGCTCGTACACGTTGGTCCTGCCGCTGGGGAAAGGGACCCCGTTGTCGGACGAGAACAGGACCAGGGTGTCGTCTCCGAAGCCGGCAGCTTCCAGCTCCTGCAGCACCAGGCCGATCCCTGAAATCACAACATCAAGGCCTTAAAGGGCCTCTGACACGCCAAAAAAATTCAAAGTGCCCGCCAGTGCACTGTGACGTAACAATGTACCGCAAGGTGTCGGGGCTGGCAGAAGGGAGGCATGGACCTACGTCACTAAAGGTGAGTTTGCCGGAAGTCACATGACTTTCACTCCTCATAATTTCCACGACCGTGCCTAAAACTTTTTTTTATTCTGGTTTGCTCCACCAGCGATTGTAGAAAACGAAGTTTTAGGTCCACAAGCTTTTTATCGCTGCACCGTTGGTTAGTTTGCGCGCTGGAAAAGTTGAGGACGAAGGGTCAGTGGATCGACGTTATGGAGGTCAATGATGAAATAATTGCGAGTACAAGCCAGTGTACGAGTGCATGCCATCAGTCCGATGGTACAGAGCTATACTGGGCACAAAACAAGCTATAGAAAAAAATTTACAACGCTCGGAGAAATTAGGATTGCTAGCATACGACACGCCCGATCGCATTGCTGAAGGTTCAGGCACCGAGGTCGTCGAATCATCGGATACTCTCCAGGTTGAAGAAGCCTGCCGTTTAGACAATGCGAACTGGTGAGTGTACCAAGTACAAGTAAACGTCGAGCATAAAGTATGTGTCTTGTCTGCAATATGCGCATAACTTAATTACTAGGTTCACTGATTCCTCTTCTTCTACCTTTACAGCAACATTAGGCGATTAAAAGCAAATAAAAGAAACCGTGTCTGCTTGGATTGCTTCCGGAGGCCCCAAACAGCTCTGGGCATCGCAATGGGCATGCTCAGAAGTTCTGCGCATGATCAGTGGAACGCCCCAAGCTGTTTGGGGCACCCAAAGCTGTAGGGTCCCCTATTCTAAAACTCTCTAATAGTGGGTAGACCTCAATGCTACATGCCTTGAGGTCTACTCACTATTTTTTTAATCATTCAATAAGAGCCCATCGTTTTGACACCATCGCAACCCGTGAAAGAAGCAGACGAACTTGCGTTCCGCATTTAAAAGCTATAAGTGATTTCCTGAAACTTCGGAAAATGGGGCCCGTTTGCCCTATTCAGCCTGTGTGTTCGTTCATAAGCGTCGTCAGCCAACATTTTGCTTTTTTAAAATTTCCATAAATCGCTCACAACTTTTGAATAAGATGACGGTTAGTTCTGAAAATTTGACACCTGGTCCGAACCAATAGCGCTACACTTGGGCGGAGACAGAGCGTCCGGTGAAGCGTAGTTTTGTTATTGCAAATAAAAAACAATGTAAACTGCTTTCGGGGACGCCCTGTATATATGGCGTTATGAATTTAGAGATTCACTCTAGCGTGAGCCGGAAAAATCGGGGCATCCACTTCACGAGCTCGAACTTTTACCAATGGTTTTATTTAGCTCTGTAGTTTACCTCGTGAAAGCTCAAACTGTAGCTCCCTTGCTGCAAAAAAAAAAAAAAATACACCAAGATTATATGTTTCCCCTTTTACAATTTTTAATGACGGATGTCTGCGCAGGCGACAGAGTTACCAAATTACTGTGTCTGTGGCGCCATCTTCCGGTGAACAAGGAAGTCATACTCTTATAGCGTGATCGCGCGAGCGTCCAGCCGGGACGCCCACCGCTGATGGCTGCATCCCAGCTGTGGTATTTCTATATAAGCCGTTTTGAGAATAAAGCACTGCTCTTGTTCGTTGGAATGACGTCTTGGTCAGTTACTCCACATACGATGCGTCATCTACTCTCGACCGAGTGCCCTCGTCGGCTTCTAACGGGAAACGGCTCCACAGGTCTGCATGGACCGCCGTTGACGCTATCAAGCGTGTTCATTATTTTTTTCGCAGGAAGGAAAAAAGTAAAAAATATATTTTGTGAAAACTTAAAGTTGTTTCTTGCAGTGCCAATAGACCACCTGCTAAATCCCCCAAGCACCCCGGCCCGCACTCGAGGAATCATGCGAACGCTGTTCCTTCAGTTCCCTAGTGATGGGGGATTTCGAGCAATTTGATGCTTGCACAGTTTTGAATGTAATCTGGATTCATTCTGTAAAAACGTCGTGTAGATTGCAGAGACCCGTCATGCATTTCACTTCTAAAACTTCTCGTCAGTGTCAACGTTTTTGATACTGCGCATGTCATCCACCTGGCTGAGATGCAGAAATCTGTTACAATATTATCATTCTCGTACAGCTTCAAGGACGCTGATATTAACTTAGAAATGCTAAAAATGCTTTAAACAACCCCGTTGACTACGAACTAAACCTGGTTTTCGTTTTTGTGAACAGTCGGCTTGTTAAGCAATTCCTGCTAAATTGTAATCGATTTCTGCTGCTCAGAAAGGTTGAAGTAGAAACGCTGAATTGCCGAGAAACCTGAAAAGTGATATGACAGGTCTTCACACTCTATACGACGCTTATTCAGGCTGACTTCGGATTATACTAAATGTGTGTAAGCACTGAATTGGTCAAAATTACCGATGACTAGGGAACTGAACGAGCACCGTTCCCATGATTCCTGGAGTGTGGGCCGGGGCGTTCAAGGGATTTAGCAAGTGTGTTTTTTTTTTTTTTTTTTCACGCTAATATTTGGCGCCGCCGCTCAATTCAAAACACTCTAAGGCCCTTTTCATGGCAAATGTCACCAGTTGCTGCTACAGTCGTTGACGTCCCAGAGAACCGGTTCATAAAAAAAAAACGCACAAAGAATACCTTAAAGGGCAACTCCGGTCCATACTTTCGATTTTGGGATTATGACTGTTTTTAGTGCAGTTAGCGCCCCTGAGTTGCAAGGTGTAATTTTTTTTCTCGTTATTGTGCGTAGTTTTAAAGATATCGACGTCTCAAAGTTTTGTTTGGGGCGCGGCCGACAAAACCGAAACTAGCCGCTCGAGGTTCCGGCAACACTGGAAATCAGCCGCTATGTGGACGTGACGCCAAGATCGTTCTCGTTCAGCAAGTACGCAGTCCAAGCGGCACCTACCTCTGTTGCGCTAGTCGTCTAAACATAGAATGTAAACTGATTTTGTTTTAATTCTGTATACGTGGTAGTTATCCAGCATATGTAGCAAGAGTTAGTGCGTATACCCAAAAGCTAGCGACTGGAAAACCCGTCAACTCGTTCGGTGGCGTACTCGGCGGCCGCCGCCGCGCGTGCGCTATGCCGTGCCGTACTCGTTGCTTGTATACCCAAAAGCTAGCGACTGGAAAACGAGTGAACTCGTTCGGTGCCGTACTCGGCAGCTGTCGGCGTGCATGCGGTCTCCCGCACCCGTCGCTAGGCCTAAATTGTCATCGGGGCTCCGTGGATGGAGCGGCGTTGCTCTACGCCGCGCTGCCAGTGACGTACAGTGCTGGCGCTTTCGCGCGGCGGGTCAGTCCCAGACACGAAGCTTCGAGGCTCTCCGGCGCGTTCCGCAACAACCGAACAGACGTGTGTCGAGCTGCAGACGTCTGTTTTTTCGTTATTTTTTCTCAGGCGCGTAAAAGCCGAATTTGTAAGCTACGACACTAATTCAACACATAAGTTCGTCCAGGTAGTGAATCTTTGTACAAAAAAAACAAACAAAAAACTTGCCGCACTAAAAAAAGAAAAAAGTTTTTTGGGCAGTTATTTTCTTCTCAAAGCTAGCAAAAGTTTTTGTGGGTGATAAAGGAAAACAGAGAACGTTAGCAAGGTGAGAACATTTTCTTTCCCTTCCGCATTCCCACCCCCACCCACAACAATTTGTTTTTATTAGAATACATAGGATTTTAAGTTTTCCTTCGTAACTTTTGACTAAAGCAAGTGTTTTTTTTTTTTTTTTTTGCATTTTTAAATATTATATTTACCTCCAGCCGAACTCGGGCAAATTAGAGAGTTGTAACTTACAAATCCGAACTTTCGCGATTTCTTTTAAGTCCCTTGTGGTATTCACAAGCGCAATGTTAATTAATACTGCTGCGTAACGGGTTCGAACGATTGGGAGGCGAATGTTTATATCGCATGAGCTTCACGCGCCGGCCATTCGCTAATAGTCGTTACGGACCTGAATACTACGCACGAGATTGAGTAGTAAACAAGCAGTGACGCAAAGCAGAACATTCTTTTCGTTTTCATTACAAACTTCAGTGTTTGGAGCTAGTTAGTGGTTGTACTCTACATGCCCACCATTCCCCATTCAATGGAGCATGAATGCTCAATCTTCAACACTGCACTTGACAATGACTGTTTTATTTATTGATCAGGATACTCTTATCATGTTTACCTTTTCGGTACATGTATGATGGGCAAAGAGCGACGGCACGGCATCCTTTTCAAGCCTCGACTCCTTCGCTGACAAGCCACAAGCAACCAACACCTGTAGGTTTCGTTCGTAACTCTCCGGCGAAAAATGATCGGAGCAGAGCTTCGATCTGGGGGTCGACGTCCAAGGCTTTCCAAAGTCCACTCGTCGAACAGCGTTCACCCACACCTTCTCCAATTTCCGCTCCGTTGGAAACTTGTGAAAAAGCACCTCCGGGTTGCACAGCGGCTTGTTTGAGCAGCCCACAGCGCTTTAAGTTCTACTCGGCATCTTTCGAGGAACAGCTGGGCAGTCTTGGACGCACCGAGTTGCTTGCTAAAACGAGTCTAGGAGACCTCGCAAGCAAATAAACAAAAGGCTATACCGAAGCTACACGGGCTACAGGGAAAAGCAACGGCTAAACACGCCATAACAAGCCGAAGTAGCGGTGGTAGCGGCACAAAGAAGCGCACGCGACGGCTACGCCGTGCTCCCGTCCGGAACGGAGGAAAAAAAGAGAACGATGTTGACATCACGGCCCAACGTTGCTTTAGCGATCGGCAACCCGCTGGCCGCCCGCTAAGGAGCAGCGGCTCGCGGCGGGTCGCGTTTTTAATATCGGCATTAGTTGAGAATGCGGCGTCGCACGGACGTGAAATTTTGGCTGGGGTCGTATTTTGTGTCACTACAGCGATACCAGTAATTTAATTCATTTTGAGTTTTGGCCGGAGTTGCCCTTTAACTCGTACGCGG